ACTTCAGCCAAATATTGACTGGTATTAACATAATGAATTCAGGCATTCAAGAATCATCTATTTCTAACTATAAAGAGGTGTGGAACACCTGACCTGGCAGTGGAATGAATCATGTCTCTCTAGAAACAATCTTCTGTTTATTTTCTTGGTTTTTAAATTTTTAATTTTGTTAATTTTTTGATCATATTTTGACTATATCATCCCATGTCTCCTCCCCCAATTTTTCCCAGACCACTCCCAGACCCACCCCATACTTCCTCTCTCCCCAATTTTTTTTTTTTTTTTTTTTTAGCAAAGACTGTCTAGAAGCAGATGTTTTCAATGGATTTCTTCATTAGCAGGAATCAGAGCCTGGCAGAGAAGTCTACCTGGCATCTGGACTGAGACAGTGTACGGCTGTGCCATTAGACCTTATTACATCACTGTCAAAAACACAATGAGCTGGTATCTTAGTGATCATAAAGTCAACCAAGCTCAATCAAGATAAAAACAACACAACTGCAGAAGATTTTATTACCCGCAGGTAAGGTGAATTCTGCGGGGGGGGGGGGGGATTTTCAAAGTAGAACTCTCCCAGAACAAAGGAAGTGTTAAGACCCATGCACGTTCATATGGGGAAATACATGGATGAAGGGGACTCCTTCCTGAGCATGTGCAAGTTAGATAGCTAGATAGGTAGATGATAGATAGATAGATAGATAGATAGATAGATAGATAGATAGATAGATGATAGATATTACTGAGCATGCTTTGTTTAAGGACATGGATAAGGAAGAGCACAGAGGATCACTTCTAGATACCTTCCCCTTATGCCATAAAGATGGCAGCTGACAGTACTCCTGAACTCTGGCTTGTGTCACTGGTGTTCAGCCTCATACTGCTTTGGCACAGCACAAGCAGTGTTTTTAGAAACCTTGCTCCCATTAACATCTTGGGAGCAGCCAAAAGGAAGAATAACTTGGAGAGTGAGTTATTAATGATATAGGTTTTCCCTCTCTATCTCAGGTTATCTGCCTTTTTAAAATACAGGACCATAATAGAAGAAGTACTCTCAGGGTGCGGCATAGGGTCTTTTCAGCATGGCAGAGATGTTCAGAGTCTCTGGGTAGTATAGGTCATTTGTGTAGAATCTGCTTAGAAGATACAGGACAGAGGGTAAGACAGGCTCAGGAACATGCAGGTAAAGTCACCTTGGGAAGGTGCAAGAGCTACCCTGTCTTGAGAACTTCTGTCCCTATAGGAGTTGATATACCTTGGCACGGCTCTTGAAAAATACTGTGCCACAAGTAATCACACTCTGCAAATAGATGCTCTGGTTTAATGTAGGTATTATACCTCCAGTCCATGGGCCACTTACTAGTGTCAAGTAAACTTGTATTAGAAGCAGCAAGGCTTAGTAATTTTTCCCTTTCTCTGTTTCCAGAGAAACACAGCTGAGCCCTTAAGTGAAGGTCAAATACTTAGGCATGGGGGGGGGGAGAGTTTTTTTTTTTTTACTAACCTATGCTCACAAAAATATTCAAATTGCAACGTTGTTTAAAAATAGAAAGAAAAAGGCAGTAATTTGTTACTATTGAAGATTGCTATTATTCCAGCACTTTCATCTGGAAATTATAAATAAAGCAGTAGAAAGAAGGATTTTATTTGAAATTTTCTGATATTTGGTTGCAGAGAAGTAAGGTTAGTAAATGTCGGAGCATCAGATGACAACGTTGAAGTAGTAGACTATGATATTTTTAATGAAACATTCCCTCAAAACAAGAATCAAGTGTGACTGTTAAAACCAGAAAATAAAGAATAGGGGGCTGGGTATTGGCACAATTTGTGAAGATTACCCACAGATTCCTTGATATGCATAAGAACTATGCAATCATGTAAGAGGAAGTCTTTTCAATGTCTCCATTACAATGAGGTGATTGAGGTGGTCTCAGTTTCCTTGGCCTTTATCTGCAGGAAAGAAGAGGCATGTTTCATGCTTCTGGGAGAAGATGCTAAGGCCCTTCCTTCACTTCATGTAGGATGCCCACTATCCCAGAACCTCACTGTTAAGATCCTTCACAACAAAAACCATTCTAGGCCTTAGAAGAAATTGTTCTACATTTATGGGCAGTTTGCATGAATAGGAGGGTCAATCAAATCTAGAATGTGACATTGATGTGACATAGGTACAGACTATCTGGGCTAGGTATTACAAAAAAGACTATTAGTAATTTTAAAGGGTATTTTCTATTTGTCCATTCAAAATTACTTTCTGCACCTCATCTTGGAGTGCATCCCTAATAAAGATTGTATTTTTGTATATATTGAATTAATTGCATGGATTGCATTCATATTCTGAATTATACTTAATATTTCTTTTTGAAAGGTAGAGTCTGACAAATTTTGAGGTTTTTGCAGGAGATATGACAAGAAAGTGAGGTGGCATGGTTTCTTGCATAGAACCTACCAGCAGGATGCCTTTGATAACTCCTTTTCTCACCAGATGTCACTGTGGTGGCTAAAGCATGGGTTTTACTATGTGATGTTTGCTGAGTTTGTTGTTGCTAAAACTTTTTTTTTAATTTCTGTTTCATGTGATTGTTTTAAAAAGAAATATACATTTTATCTGAAATCAAGAGTAGTATGTTGATGATGATATTTCTAAATAATAGACTGTCTTAAGCAGAGGCTTCATTGAGAATTAAGTCAAATGCTTACATTTATCCAGTCTGATGCTCAGAAAAACTGTAAAGAAAATAGTGCTACATCTTGGAGACCCTTATTTTTCAAGTCAGTAAGCTGTCTCACTGTTATCTTTTTCTCTTTGAACAATCTTTGCAAAATAAAAATGTAAAGCAGAAAGTATATTTATTTTCCCTTCCCCAGCAGGTTCTTTAGGTTTAAAATATCTGATCTTTTTCAATGTGGTCTTAGTTTTATTTTAGAATCAAAATGTGATATGAGATAATTGGAAAATAAAATGAGTAGGTCATCATTACATCTATCAAGTCATTATGGTGCCAGGCAACCTTTTCTATGCATATTTCTCCTACCTCCAAAACTTGCTAAGCATCTCAATTCACAGGTTTCCTTCATAACACTAATGGCCATTTCTGAGAGGATATTTGATAATTATCAATTACTGTCCCTGTTAAGTTATTTTGTATATTTCCACTGGCATGTAAAACACTTTAATAAATATTTTAGTATGCTAATTGTTTCTTGTATTTCTAAAAATAGCTGTAGATAAAGTACAGGCACATTCATTTACTTATAAAATGTATAAATAGCTACACTCCAGGGAAGTATCATATAAACTAGATCTCACTAAATCACTTTGAGCTATGCTCAAATACAACAATATAAAGAGTTTTGGTGTCAGGGTGGAAAGGCTCTGGACTCTGTAGACCAAAGTAGGGAGCAGCCCTTTGACAACAAACAAACAAATAAACAAAAACAAAGCTATGATATTATCAAAATTGTTGGACCACCTGGATGGTTTGCCACGTTTCCCAAGGATTCTGCACATCTGTGAGGCTGTGAAGAACAGATTAAGAAATGAGGGTTGTGCTTTTGATTAGTGTAACCTTCTCTAAACAGTGTCTTCTTACAAAGCAAGAGCCCTCAGAACATTGCTGGTCTTCTCAGATACAGCCAGGGAAGACTCTTCGGGATTCCTACTATCCTAGGAAGCAGTCCTGCTGTTCCTGCTCACGGCACCATAGCTCTATGGAAGTCATGCTCTTTGTTTAGAGTTGTCCACTAGGTAGAGCCTGATGTAAGAGACTGGCTATACAAAGCTAAACATGAGGCCCAGGATGATGCTAGCCTGGAGCAGTGACTTTCTGGATGAATTGATCAGAAAATTAGTTTAAGTTGTGGACAGAAGAGCAATAATGAGTCACAACACCAAACTGACAAACTGTGCTTAGATAATCAGAACAAGGAATAAAGGCACTACAATAGACAGTTAACTGTGTCATACATGATGGATAGATGTACGGGTGGATGGATGGATGGATGAATGGATGAATGGGTGGATGGATGGATGCTCAAAAAGCTGTGGTTCATCCTTTGGTACCTAGTTCCAGAATTTGGAAGCTCTGACAGGAATTATCACTGACATGTAAGATACATAAGCAGACTAAGGCACAAAACATTTGGATTTCGCTGTGATCTTTACAAATGATACTTTGAGAACATCCCCCTAGGCTTTCCATACCCCCATTACTCTGCCTCCACTTTCTCAAAACTATGTATTTAATTTTATATAACAATATACTAGCTTCACGTTCTACTACATATCTTTAAAAGGCTAAAAAATTTATAAAACTTAGAAAGAAAATGCTAGATTAAGTAGTTTTTACCCTCCTAGGTCAATGTAACTCAGAATCTACCTGTCTCCACTTCTCTAAGTGTATGATCCTTTTCTCAATAAAAATGATATCGACTCTCATACCTATGGGGCTGATCTGCATACTCTGTAGCCTGAAGATACATTTCTTCTCATTCAAAAATATTGAAAGTTCAATTATAGAATAATTTAAGTTGTGCACAAGTCACATTCTTTGTATATGTTTGCCAACATTTTACCTCCTTTTATGATTCAAATTAGGAATTTTTCTACATTTTGTTAAGCTCTCCACCACATTTAAAAGTCATAGAAAATGAAAAAAAATCAGAGGATATTTTGTAACTTAAAATAAGACATTATCAAGCAAATTGTACTTAAATTCTCTTTTTTAGTTTTGAGCATGAAAATTAGACAATTAAGTAGATGGTTCTGAACTGTCTTCTCATTTGTGGAGACTTAATGGCAATCTTTTAAGTGCTGTGAATTTTAGTTGAGGCTTAAATACTATTTATTTCTCATCTATTCACCTCTGACTTACTGTAAAAAGCACTAATGTTCTTGTTTGGATAGTGGAGGTGATAAATATTGTTGTTCAGATGTATCCAGGGTAGCAGTATGTACTTCAGTTAAGATTCCATAGGAACCCAGCCCAAGGCCTTGAATCAAGTGTAGCTGGTTATGTCCCTCTCCTGATGGCCCAAGCTGGGACTTCTTCAGTACCATGAAAGGACACCTAAGGTACAAGTGTGACCATGAGGAGACAGACCTGGAGATAGCAAAAGATCCATAGGTTGTAAACTACATCCATTCCCAGAATTCTGGGTGGAAAACAGGTAAATATCTCTATCCTTTGAGGAGATAAAGCTGCGTATTTAACTTTCCTTGTTTGCCTAGAGTTCATCTGTGTGAACAATGACCTTGTACCCACTAAAATTATTTACAAGGTGTGTGTGTGTGTGTGTGTTCATTCCTGTGAGCATGTGTGAGAGAGGAGGCCTGAGCACAACTTTGGCTACTGTTTCTCAGGTATTGTCTGCCATGTTTATTGAGACAGTGTAACTTTTGAGTCTAGAGATCCTAAGCAGGCTAACTAGCTGGCCAGGAACCTCAGAGAACTGTAATCCCCAAGGTGGAGATGATAGAGACACATTTTTACACGTAGCTTCTTTATTTACTTTTGTGTGAGCTCTAGCTATGAGGAGCCTGAAAGTCATGGCTGCAAGGACTCTTGAATCCTAATCCCTGGCATAATGATTTCACACAAAGGTATTTTTGAATGTAGGTTGTAAAGTTTTACTGAAGTTTTTCAATATTTTAATCTCTATTTTCACCTTAATTCATCCATTTCGCTTTCACCTTTATAAGTTATAGACTGCACTTAATAGATTTAAAAATTGCTTACTTTTACATTGCATTTTATGACTTAAAAAGTTCTAATTACATTAATCTCCTTTTTATATACCTTTTTTTATTTCTAAGAGATGCTTGCAATTGAAATTTTCATTACAAGTTTGATCCAGGGATGTTTACAATTGTTATATCTACATAGCATATTCACATTTTCATGAATTATTTATTCCTGTTGTACCTATTGGCTAATAATTTGTATTAAGGGCTATGAAAAAGGGTGCTATCTATACTAATGACTGCTCTTTGACATAGAGTTCATTAAATGACATTACATCACATCCATGATGGAAACATAAAAATAGCATTTCAAAGATCTCCAAAACTATCATTCTCTAAAATGACAATATGATCTCCTTTTTCAGAGTAAGGGAATTTGTTCTTTTAGTTTCTTCCTGTATCTTACTGGCAAAGATTGACTACTTTTGATTTGAAGTGTTTTCTGAGACTTTGGTGCAGGCTGCTCAGTATTTCAGAAAATAATTATGTATTTTCTAAATAAAGTCTATGAGCATGGTAGTATTGGTTAGATCTATGATACCCTATAATCAAGGCTAAGTAGTTGTACTTTCGGGATATTGTTTTGCTTTCAGAATTGTTTTTCAAAAAGTGGTACCCAGGTGTTATCCTGAAAATGCAGCTTCCCATGCTGTGGAACCCTGAGAGCTATTTAGGTTACACCAACTTAGCTGAGACAAGCTATTTGATGAAAGATAGAAAGACAAGAAAACATCAAAGAGATTCCAAAGTGCAGGAAATTGTAGCTCAATTATGATTATCATGACTTCAAAATCCACAAGAGAAAATCAAAACAAATAGATATAATTGTAAGTTTTAGTTGCCGAATGTCTAGATTGTTGTCCTTAAACATCTGAACACCTAAAAAAACACCTAGAAAACATATGATGATTCCAAATAGCTTATTATGTACAAAATCTTTCATGGTGAGTTTAATTGTTTCAATATCAGTGGTAATTGTGAGTGAGTCTTTAGAGATGGTTCACTGGTCACAATTTTAGAGGGCACTGTCACCAAATATTTTACAGAAAGTCTGTAAGCTCTATATATATCAGAATAGATACAAAGATCAGAGCCCTTGATTTCAATTCTAATGATTCTTCAACTCTGTCAAACACAGTGGCCACTGCCAATCAGTTCAGCTCAATGTTGTGTTTTGGTTTATTCAACTGACTAGCTACCTTGTCTCCACATGTTAAAGGATTAAATAATTATCCACAGCATGTTCCATTGCCTTGACACCATGCGTATTCAGATACATAATAATCTCCACACATGCAATGTTCATAAAATATATAAACTATCAGTAATTAGTTTTGATTATCTGGTAACATAAAAACCAAAACTTTTTAAAAGTGAAAAAAACTATGTTTTGGATATTAGAAAATATACAGAAATAGGCTGGGTCATGGCGGCACACACCTTTAATCCCAGCACTTGGGAGGCAGAGGCAGGTGAATTTCAGTGAGTTTGAAGCTAGTCTGGTCTACAGAGCAAGTTTCAGAACAGGCTCCAGAGCTATGGAGAAACCCTGTTTCAGAAAACCAATAAAACAAAACAAAACAAAACAGAATAAACATAATTAGAGCCAAGAATTCAATTAGACAGAGACTGATTCAGACACAGGCATAGATATCCATTTATATAATTTTTAGTTTTTAAAACTATTTTTATTCTCAGATTATAATAAAATTATGGCATTTCCCTTTGCTTTTCTCCATCAAAACCTCTCATATGTTCCTCCACACTCACCTTCATATTCCTTGTCTCTTTTTTACTTATTGTTTGTGTGTGTGTGTGTGTGTGTGTGTGTGTGTGTGTGTGTGTGTGTGTATGTTCTGAAACATAAACTGCATAGTCTGTGTATAATGTTACTTGTATGTATGTTTTCAAGGAAGCCAGTTTGGTATTTGACAACCAGTGGTATGTTCTTCCCTGGGGAAAACTCCTCTTCCACTTTCAGCTTTCTTAGTTGTCTAAAGCTTATGAGGGCATAAATACACATTTGGCATTAATGTGATGCTCCAAAAGGAATGTTTGTGTACTGAGGCAGTTATACTAAGCTTATTACTTTCAAAGTATGGTTTTAAAATGTCCCTTCTTTCTGTATATAATATTTTATGTTTTATGCTTCTTCTCATTTTCAACTGTACCAGGTACAAACGTAAAACAATAGAGGAAGTTTATTCAAATCTCTTTCCCATGGTTACATTAAATCCTCACTATTCCTTATAAATGATATATATAAGGAAACTTCTGTGCCTTTGAATATCTTGAAATATCCAGCTACTGTTTTCTGTCATTAAATGACGCAGGTTCATGAGTTCCATATTGTATGAAATTGGAAGTTACTATGTTTGCCTTTGGCACGTAAATGAAAAGGCAAGGAGGCTAGGTTAGAATCCCACTGATGTCCGATTCCTCTCTGTATGCTATGAATACCATTGGTTAATAAATAAATAGTCTTGGGCATGTGCAGGAAATAGTAGTAGGCGGGGAAAACCAAACTGAATGCTGGGAGAAAGAAGAAGTTGGAGACCTTGAACACCTCTCAAAAAATTACTTCACCCAATAAACAGCAGGAAGCAGTTTGGAGAGAACTATGCTTGTATTCTCAAATATGGTTTGTAATGTTTAAAGGGGCATATGCTATAGAGATTTGTATTGGTATTAATAATGGTTTATTGATACAAACTTAAGGTCAATCTTGTTATATGTATATTTCTGCTCTTAAGGTATTGTGATTGTGTAGTTCATTTAAAAATGTAAAATAAAATTAAGAAATATAGGTTAATAGATAATCATCAATAATAGTCAAGCTTGTAGTCATGTTAGTTAGATTTTTTAGTTGGACAGAGATGTATTTCAGAAGGATAGGCATTCTTCAAATCTTTCAAAGACCTTTATATAATGGTATTTAAATGTTTTAAGAAGTTAGAACTTTTCATGACAGTTAGACACATCTGTTCCTGGCAGCACCAAGCTACTTCAAGAGGATGATGGGTATAGAAGAGGCTCCTTAGGGAGTTTGCTAGTCATTTGAGCAAGAAACTGTTCTTTCCTGGACTGATTGATGGTTTGCTGTGCCAGAAATTCTGCAGGACACAGTAGAAAGTTCCTGACAAATTGCCAATATAGGTGGAACTCTCTTTGAAATATCCTATTTTATGGAAAAGTCTGCTGGGTACTATGGGCCTGTAGTCTGAAGAAGGATGCCTCAATGGTACAGAAGATCTTTGGGTAATCTTCCATGTAGCAAGATGTCTCTGTCAATTCCAGAGTTTTAGAAGTTACTTACTATGTACTTTCTGTTTACTTAGGTAATGTTATATTCTTCTGGAGTCTTTGATGGAGTTGAAGAATTTATACTTATATTTACAGTTTTCCTTAGTTATGATAAAAGATAACATAGATATAAATATTATAACTGTAATTCTTGCTTGATACCTGTTTTGTTATATGTAATTTTACTATGTTAAAATTAAAACCTTTCTTTTTTATTTAAACAGAAAACTGAAGGTGATGTGGAATTCCCCTTTGTATGCTGTGAATACCATTGGTTAATAAAGAAATTGTCTTGGGCCTGTGCAGTGTATAGAGGTAGGCAGGGAAAACTAAACTGAATGCTGGGAGAAAAAGAGGAGTTGGAGAGAAGCCATGTAGCTCCACACGAGACAGATGCTGGAACTTTACCCAATAAGCCACTGCCACATGGCAATACACAGCTTAATGGAGGTGGGTTAAATTAAGATATAAGTATTAGCCAATAAGAAAGTAGAGCTAATGGGCCAAGCAGTGTTTTAAATAATATGTTTCTGTGTGATTATTTCAGGTATGAGCTGCTAGGTGGCCAGGAAATAAACAAATGGCCTTATTACAACATCCTAGTCCTATTCCTGAAAGTACTCATTCCTGAAGTAGTCACTGTCCTCAACTGGGAATTGCTGACTATGTATTATTCCACAGAATAAATGCATGTGTTTGAAGAGGAGGATTTCATAGTATAGAGGTAATCATCTTCTTATTAAATTATCTTTCACTTATTTTATACTCCAACCAAAATGAGCCCTTATTTATCCTTTGTGCTGCATTTTACTGAGCCTCTATAAAGTATGCACTCCAATACCCTCTTCTAACCCAGATGCTCTTAATCCAAATATGAGCCCTGCCTGTTGACTTCCTGCTTCATGGAGCTTTACCATAAGGTGTTTCCCCCTCTCTGTGCATTTTGTCTTCCTCAAGTCGTTCCTGTCGTGTCATTTCTTACCTCTCATCTCACTGGTCAGTTTCTACTTGGTTTGCATCCACAAATTTGCTCATATAAAGCCTGACTAAATAGACAAAGCATTTAAGATATTAACCATGCCCAGTTCAATGCCTCACCTTTATGCTCTGATAGTGTAGAACTTTCTGCCCATCAGTACTCACTCTTCTTCAGTTACCTCTCCACTTATTACCCATACTCAAAGACTCCATTACCAAATATTCTTTGTTCTCTGTGAAATATGTTATTTAATTACTTTCCACAATGTACTCTGGGGTTAAAGCAGCTTAAGGCTAAAATCCTGGAAAATGATATTGCTATATCTCTCCTGATGTTAGCACTATCTTATAGTTACAGTGCTTGGAAGTATTCCTCAAGAATGAACTTCTGTTGATGAATAAGAAGAAAGAAAAACAAGTGATAACTGAAGAAAATATCTAGAACTAGCAATTACTCCAATGTGTAAAATAGAGGCAGTCACAGCTAACCTATTTACATTATCTAAACTTTTATGTTCTGCCTTTAGTGACTGGAAAGGAGAAAAACCTGATGATTTCCACCTGGCAAAGCTTCAGTGATGACTAAAGAGTCTTCTTTACATGATTGAATAGAGAACGAACACATTTTCTCATTCAGACCTGGAGGGAGTAACTTAGTACATTGCTGAAGAGAATGATGTACCAAACCCTGTGATTTCTAAAAGGCACGTCTACAACCTACTAAGCCATGCTCAGAAAACACCGACATTCATTCTGCAGAAATAATGGAAAGATGTCCTTTAACTATGACTTTTGGAATACTTGTCATAAACGACAATCTGGGTATTTTATAAACATTTTACTGAAGTATCTAGTGCACTTTCTATTTTACATGTGGGAAATAAAGCCGGGGAGATTAACTGACTTGGCAGAATTTACAGAGCTGGTTAATGTCTCCAGAAATGGTCACAGAGAAATTTCCAAATTAACTATTTAGCTTGCTTTTAAATTAATCAGTAACAATTTCCTAGTGTTCACTGCACTAATGTTATTAAGAAGTTTTGCAAGTGGCTATTACAAAGACTCATAAGTGAGCCTCTGAGCCCTCTGGGGATCTCTGTAGCAGAGTGTTTTTATGTGATTGCAAATATTACCAGCAATGATGCTTGGGTGTCCTAAGGTGGAAGTATCAGCAACTAACTTGAACCCTGGGCTCATCACATCTTGTTGATCTTGCTATTTTCATGCTCATCAGCTCTGGGAATTTATCCCATACATTAACCAAAAAAAAACTGCATAAATTTACAGATTGGCATGCCAAGGTGAGCTAGCTTTTCCTCAAAAACTCTCAGTTTTCACAGAGCTACCTGTCTTTCTTTGGTTTCCTGCAGATCTTGATTGTGAAGTAAGCATTTCAAATCAAGTATTTTCATTAGAAGGCACTCTGTATGATGGAGAGGTGGCAAAGGAAAGAAAGGAAAATCTATGACAAGATAAATCGATGAGCATGCTTTTCAATGGCTTGGCACTGGGAAACAAAGCAATCTTGCCCATCTGCTGGAAGATGAGTATTGAATCTTCATTGGTGGGGGTTTTCTCCGTGGGGGACTAACAGGCAGACACTTGAGCTTTCCAGTGCCTGTACTGGGTCTGCTAATGTTGCCAGAAGAAACATCACTAGAAAATCTCAGGTGCTCTAAAGAAGAAGGCATCTTAGCTTACTGGAGACAAGGACAAAGAGGGCAAGCTCATGAGCATACCTGTGAATCTCCAGACTCACTTACCATTGACTCTTCATTCCATTCCTTCAAACCTTTGGTCTGACTGCTTATTATCTAGACTCCCATTGTTTGTGGCTTGTTTGTTTTAGAAGTCATTCAGAATGTGTTTATTGAGATTTACACCACCTCTCTGGGTAGGCTTTCAATCAATAACTAGAATGAAATGGCATCTTCCACTTGATGGCAGGAAACAACAATTTTATCAGTCACTTAATTATAACATTTTAAAGATGTATTTATGTTTTATTTCATGTGTATGGGTTTTTTGACTGCATGGGTGTCTGTGTATCACATGCACAAAACACTGTAAACATCATTGGGGTATAGAGTCTGCTAGATCTGGCTAGAATTAAAGACACTGTTAGTCATTGGTGCTGGGAGAGCAACCAGTGCTCTTAGCCTTAGAACCTATTTGTTCAGCCCCACCTTCAAATTTTATTGGATCAGTTGCAGTTACAGCATCAGGCAGGAGGCATAAACACTTGGGGAAAATCAGGAATTTCGTTTTACAGTATACGTTTAAAAGGAGCCTGTTGTCAATGTCAATTTTCAACCTGTGCAGTTAGAAGAAGGCATTTGTGGTAGAGAACAACCTGCTCTACATGGAAATGACTTTCTTTTTTCTAGGATGAGATTGCCAGATAGCAGATCTGACAAGTCCTGAAACATCAGTGTCAGTCACTGAGAGGCACAAGAGAGTTTCCTTTGAGTTATTGCCTTGCCTCAGTTACTCCTAGGTAAAACAAAAAGATTTAACACTAGTGTAACTAATTTGAGTACCACACACCAGATGTTAGTAATAAAGTAATTTCATTAGTGCAGGGTCAATGGAGGTAAGAAGTGTTTTGGTTTGAAAGTGAAAAGCCTCTGCAGATCCTGTACTCCAACACTACGTCCCCAACTGGTGGCACGGTACTAAAGGACAGATGTTAGTAATGAAGTAATTTCATTAGCACAGCGTCAATGGAGGTAAAAAGTGTTTTGGTTTGAATGTGAAGTGTTTTGGTTTGAATGTGAAGAGCCTCTGCAGGTTCTGTACTCCAACACTACGTCCCCAACTGGGGACACTGCTTAGGGAGTTTGTGGAACCTTTAGGCATCAGGCCTAACTGGAGGAAGTGTAGCACTGCTATAGGCCTGAGCTTGTGCCAAGTCCTGGTCAGCAGCACTGAACGCCATCTCCAGCAGGCTTCTATGACCATGCATGGACCACTTTCTAGACCTTCCCTGCAAAAGGGGTATCCAAACTCCTGTTTTCTCTGGGTCACACTGGATAAAGAATTGCCTTAGGCCACTGTTAGGATACACCAACACCAAAAAAAAAAAACAGATAGCAAAAAGAAGGTCTGTGTATATTTTCATGACGTTGATCACCACACAGAAGCAAAAAGGCCTCAAACAGTAATCTTTTTTTTTGATGTTAGTAATATTTAGTTAGTAAAGAGAGATACAGGAAGGCAAATATACATTTTATTTTTATTAGTTTTTATTACTCTTTTTGAAATTGTTTTTATTGACCTATACATCTTTCTCCACTCCTGTCCCATCCTCCCTGTCCCCTTCTACCCCTTCTCGTGACCCCCACTCTCCCAATTTACTCAGGAGATCTTATATCTTTACCTTTCCTATGTATGTCTCTCTTGAGGTCCTCTTTGTTGTCTAGGTTCTCTGGGATTGTGGACTGCAGGGTGTTTTTTTTTTTCCTTTGCTTTTTGTCTACAAGTCACCTAGGAGTGAATACATATTATATTTGTCTTTCTAGGTCTGAGTTACCTCATCGAATGTTTTTTTTCTTGACCCATCCATTTGCATGCAAATTTCAAAATGTCATGTTTTACTGGTGTGTAGTATTCCATTGTGTTAATGAACCACATTTTCTTTAGCCATTCTTCTGTTGAGGAGAATTTAGGTTGTTTTCAGGTTCTGGCTATTACAAATAATGCTGCTATGAACAGTTGAGCACATGTCCTTGCAGTATGATTGAGCATCATTTAGTTATATACCCAACAGTGTTACTGATGGGTCTTGAGGTCTTGTTTCCTAATTTTCTGAGAAATTGCCATACTGATTTTCATTGTGGCTGTACAAGTCTGCACTCCCAACAGCAATGGAGAAACATTCCCCTTACCCCATATCCTCTCTAGCATAAGCTTTCATCAGTTTTTTTTTTTTTATCTTGGACATTCTGACAGGTAACTTCACATGGAAAAACAAAATACCCAGGATAGACTAGACAATCCTGCACAACAAAGGAAATTCTGAAGGCATCACAACTCCTAACTTCAAACTCTACTACAGGGCTACAGTGATAAAACAACCTGGTATTGGCATAAAAAACAGACAGGAAGACCAATGGAATTGAATCAAAGACCCATTGAATCCATATACCAACAAACACCTGATTTTTGACAAAAAAGCAAAAAATATGAAATGGAAAAAATAAAGCATGTTTAACAAATGGTGATAGCATAACTAGATATCAACTTGTAGAATAATGTAAATAGATCCATATGGAACACCATGCACAAAACTCCAGTTCAAATGGGTTAAAGACCTCAACAAAAAGCCAGCCACACTGGACCTCACTGAAGAGAAAGTGGGAAATAAACTTGAATACATTCGCACAGGAGATCACTTCCTAAATATAACCCATTAGTTTATGTACAGCATCTGTATGTAGGTGTCCACTGAGGCTGAAATAGGATGATGGATCTCCTAAAATTAGAGTGAAGCAGTTATGAGCCAACTGATGCGGATGCTGGGAACATAACCCAGGTCTTCTGCAGGAGCAGCTAACTCTTAACTTGCCGGGCGGTGATGTCGCACACATTTAATCCCAGCACTTGGGAGGCAGAGGCAGGTGGATTTCTGTGAGTTTGTGGTGACCCTGGTCTACAATAGCTAGTTTTAGGACAGGCACCAAAGTTACAGAGAAACCTGTTTCAAAAAAAAAAAAAAAAAAAGCAAAAACAAAAACAAAAGAAAACAAACATACCACCACCAACAACAAAACCAAAAACCAAAACCAAAACAAAACCAACTATGTGTGGCATCATCTCTCTAGCTCCAATTTTTTTTTAATAATGCAAAGGAAATGATAACATGCCACAAGTCAAAAATCTTTCCAACATTGATTCTCAACTAAACCTTATCTTACTTCTGCAAAGTTACAAAGGACAGCGTCAATACTTTTAAGGAATTCCAGGAAATGATGATAATCTAATCCTTTGGCACTTAGGAAAATTACAGTCTTAATGAGTTACCTGACATTATCTATTTTTTAATACTTTCCCACATAAATTTTCACAATGCATTATGCAACATTTCATTAAGCTTGAGTTTGAAGTTAAAAGCATTGTTTTCTATGGGTTATACACATTTTTGTCCATTACCTAAGATACCATCCCTATTCTTGTGGACAAGAAACAAAGAAAATTGTTGTAACATAGTTTGTAATATTTTGTCTACAAATCTCTTAATTTAGTTGCAACTTCTAATGGTTTAAAGAATTCCTTCAGTGACATTTTATCATTATATTTAATCCTTCTTACATAGCCCACTGTATATACTGAATCTGAGCTACTTGTAGCTTGTAGGCCATAAGTTAAAAACACGACCTTAAATCATGTGTCAAAGCGAGCTTTTTTTCCCCTTGAATTGCTTCTGTTTGAGTAGTTTGTCACAGCAACAAGATAAAAGTAAATACTACAGGAATGAGGTTAATCTCTATATTTCTAGTTAGTAAAAACTTACACTTATGTCATTATTGTAGGTCTAAATTCAAATTTCATTTCCAAAAACTACTGTCTATGTAAATCTGAGCTAAATAATTACACTCTTATTGATGATGTAGACATAAGGAAAACACGAACCTAATAGAGTTTTTCAAATGATTAGATTAGATAAAACAGTCATTTATCACTAGGCATGAGTCCTCACACACAATAAATGGTGACTAAGTGTCAGCCAATACTTCAATTAACACATTATTCTTTTTGTTTTTACAAGAACTATTACAACTTTAAAAATTTCCATTAAAACTTACACATTAATTTTTCATAAGTAGGAGATATATTTTCTAAATTAATTCTAGTCCTTTTCAAATCAGAAACAATCATACGACTGTATAATCATATGTCAAGTGAGCAAAAGCATAATTAAATTTGATTAATGTGTTTTTTTACTAATTATATAAGTACATCATATTTTTCCTGGTTGATGTAAAAGTTAAACATTAATAGATCATTAAAATTCACAGTGTGGTAAGCAGCCACTAAGTCATAAGTACCACCCACTTCAAGTAAAATATTTTAAAAAATAAATATTGTATATTAATCACACCATTAATTTTTTTCTGTTCATTGGAATAATTCAGAATCCTTTCATATGCATTTGTAAATTATGGGTGGTTTATCCTAATGGCTGAGAATCAGGGGTATTTAAATGACTTCATGATTAAATGAGTTCCTACCAGCTCAGCCACTTAGTTTAGTCATACCATGACTCTTTTCATCCATATTAGAAAAGCTTTAACAAGAAACATGTATATCAAAAATTAATAAAATTATAATTATTTCCAACATAAAAATCTCAGGAAAGAAAGAAAAAGCATAAAACTTTCAAGTAAATTAATACATGCTTGAAAAATTATCAAATTATAGTTTCCTGGCAGCAAATGCAAAACTAAAACTAAACATTTTAAAACAGAGTTACAACTTCTCAGTTGTAGAAGGCTTAACCATTATAAAGATGCCAGAGGCTGAAACAATGATTCTGTGGTTAAGAGCATTTGCTACTCTTCCAGAGGAGTAGAGTTACATTCCCAACTGTCGAGTCAAGCAGCTCACAATTACCCACAATGCTAGCTCCCAGGAATCCAAAGCCATCTTCGGAATCCTCAGGAATGTGCACTCATGTACATAATCACACAACAGACACAACTATAAAATAAACTTACAAACAAAAACCACAACAACATGTCAACTGATTATTTTTCTTAACTTTATCTGAAAAATAACTTCTTTGACAATGTTATCAATGTTTATTAATGTTTCTTGACTCTAAATCATAATATGAACTTTTGACACCTAACCTTGGCAAGGGAATTTCTTCTGACCAGTGACTAGTGATCACAGCCATAAACATTCCCTGTATCTCTTATTATACAAATACAAAACAAGGATATAAAAATCCTACCACAGTAAGTGCTCCCAAGGTCTTTGTACTCATTCACTTTCTACCCCATCCCATTTCAACCTTAGCAATGTTGTTAGCTTTATACCACACCCCTAATCTCCTCAAAAGTCACCTCCCTTTTCATCTTGCTAAGTGCCACCTTGCTTATATATTAGTTAATTGTTCAATTGTTGTAGCACAATACCTACCAGAAGGAAATTAATGAAGAGTTAATTTTGGTTCAGTGTTTGAGGATACAGTTCATCAAGGAAGGGAAGTCATTGAAGTACAAGCTTGGGCTAGCCGGACATATTGCATCCACATGTCAGGAAGCAGAAAACAGTTAATGCAGCGCTCAGTTCACTCTCCCCTTTTGTTGAGTCTAGGTGTTGTGGGAAGTCCTTCTGTATATGTGTTGCTTTTATTGGTTAATAAAGAAGCAAAGGCATGATAGCAGGAACAGCTGAGAGCTTACATGTTGATCCTAAGTAAGAGGCAGAAAGAGAGAACATGGGGAATGACTGAAGTAAAACTTCAGTGCCCTGCCCCAAGTGACACATTCTTCCAGCAAAGCCACACCCCCGAATCCTTCCCAAACGGTCCTACCAGCTGAGGGCTGGGTCTTCAAACATCTGAGTTTGAGGGGGGTGTGACATTGTCTTTTAACCACTAGAGTTCCCTTATATTGAATTGATTATAGTAATGGGAAATTTGAAAAAAATCATATTACCCAGTACTAAGAAAAATCTATAGTAATCATATTTTTTGAATATGTCTGGGTGTATTAGAAGTGTGACCTGGTGAACATGTTATAAGATGATAATGATGATAATTTATTATTTTGTTAGAACACTAAATAATGGAGTCACCTTGGTGTCTTCATAGCTATGTATCACTGTATCCCTAGCCTTCCCTGTTGCTCCCTGCCTGACCTAGCTGTTTACCTTCCTTCCACTGGAGCCTGTAATTTGTTCTTATTGCATCTATTCATAACCCAACTTCACAACTTCTTTCTGACCTCTTCCTCAATTTATTATTCTATTTCTAGTTCTGTGTTATCAAGTGCACACACACACACACACCTCTTTTACACATACATATTTAGATTATTTTATTTTTTAAAAAACAATCTTTTCTCATTTTACATACCAATCCCAGCTCCCACTCCCTCCCCTGGTCCCATTACCTGAACCTTCACCCCGCCCCACTCCCCATTTACTTCCCAGAAAGGATAAGGCATTCCATGGGGAGTAAACAAAGTCTAGCACATTGCTTTGACAAAGGACCAAGGCCCTCCCCCCTATATATAGGCTGAGTAAGGTATTTCCAAAGAGAATGGGTCTTAAAAAGTCAGAACAAACAGTAGGTATAAATCCTGATCACACTGCTAATGGCACTACAGTATGCCCCAGCCATACAACTGTCATCCACATTCAGAGAACTTAGTTTGATCCTATTCTGGTTTCTTTCCTGTCAGGCTGGCATTGTTGGGTGCCCATTAGTTCAGGTAACCTGTTTCAGTGGCTATTCCTATAACGTTTTTAACATCTTTGCTCATATTCTCACTCCTCCCCCTCGTAAACTGGATTTTAGGAGCTCAGCCCAGTGCTCTGCTGTAGATATCTGTCTCTGCTTCTATCAGTTGCTGGATGAAGGTTCTATGTTGACATTTAAGATAGTCAGTCTGACTACAGGGCAATGACAGTTTAGTCACCCTCTCCACTACTGCTTAGGTCCTTAGCTGGATCCTTGGGGATTTCTGGGAATTTATATAGTGGCAGGTTTCTTGCTAGCCCCATAATGGCTCCCTCAATCAAGATATTTTTTGTTCTCTCTCTCTGTCCTTCCCCCGTCTCCACTATCCCATTCTCTCAAGATCTCCTCCCCCTCTCTTTCTCTCCTTTCCCTCTTATACCATCCCTTCTCCCCCAAGCCCATGCTCCCAGGAGATCTTTTCTAGCTCCCCTTCCTATAGGAATTTCTATATTGTAGTTTCTCTTAGAGTTCTCCTTGTTACTTAGCTTCTCAGGGGTTGTAGACTTCAGCAGAAACTTAGCAAAGAAATAAGAGAACTAATAGATATTGTGACTCAAATGAACTTAACATATATAGAATACTTCAACCAAATATAAAAGACTGTACCTTTTTCTCAGCACTTCATGGAACATTCTCTAAAATTGATCACATATTTGGTTGGTAACAAAGCAAACCTTAACAGACACAAAAAATTGGAGTAATACCCTGTATCTTATCAGATCACCATTGTTTAAAGCTAGAATTCAACAACAACATTAATCGCAGAACCTTACAAACTCATGGAATTGAACAGTGCTCAACTGAAACACCCCTGGGTCAGGAAAGATAATAAATACCCAAACCTATGGGATACTGTGTGAAGATGAACACTAAAAAGAAATTCCACACTAGCTCATAATAGAGTATACTAATAGGTTATTTATTTGAGTGTAGACTCACAGATCACAGTCCTCTGCATGAATAGGGAACAGAAACAAATCCAACAGCCAGAAGAGAGACAGAAGAGAGAAGGAACGCACAATTTACAATAAGCATTAATAGAATAAATGGACATGCCCATTTATAGTATAAATTATATATATATATATATATATATATATACACATA